TGTGTACACGACTCCCCGGTGAGCTTGATGTGTAGCAGCTTGCCGGGGAGGGATTCCTCCTCGACGAGCCGGGATGAATACCCTCTTGTCGGGAGAGATCTCTCCCGACGAGAGGGTGTGTACACCAGGTCGTCAGGAGGAATCCCTCCCGGCGAGCTGGATTGTACACCACACCACCAGGAGGAATCCCTCCCGACGAGCTGGCATGAATACCCTCTCGTCGGGAGGGGTTTCTCCCGAAGAGAGGCCAACAACTCAGGCCAGCTCGCCGGGAGGGATTCCTCCCGGTGGTGTTGCCTCTCTTGGCACCGGGTATCCCTTGGGATACCCGGATATCTGCCAGGTTTGGGCAGAAAAACAGCCATCCGCAGCCGAAACCGCACCCGCTGGCGGGTATCCGCTGGCACTGGCGGGTATCCGCCAGCGGATAGCGGATATCCGCGGCGGATTATCCGCGACCATCTCTATTCTGGGCTAACACAGCATTAGAAAAGGAAAGGTAGTCTGACATGTGAGATTTGTGGTTTCAGTAGGTTGAGACTTTGGATAAATTAAACAAAAAATTATGATCAAAGCATAATTACAGAGTGATAGCAGAAGACAACAAAACCTTTTGAAGTTTGAGCTGGGATGCAGGGATGGTTTAGTCAACAATAGGGGGTTTCAAAATTTACCCAGGACCTTTTGCAGGTCCAAATCACAGGAAAATAAATGCTTGGGGGGCTTGTAAGGGTTAGAGGGAAATTCCCCAGGGGTCTTCTGCAGTACACATTCAAGTCCCGATGAGTTGGTTGATTTTGGACATATACAGGCAAATTCCTGCTCCTGGAATGAAAATCCTGGAGGTTCTTCCTAGGCAGGAGCCCAGGTTGACAGGCTGTCTTCCAGGTGGCTTGTTGTTCCTGGGTTTTGGGACCTGTGCAAGGATCCAATCCCCAGATCGGATCAAAAAGAGTGCCAATACCGGGTATTGGGATTGGATTGATCTCCGATCCAATCCCGATTTATTGGAGAACTGGAATTGGGTAGAGCAATCTGATCCCAATACCGGGTATTGGGGCTCTTTTAAATCCAATCCAGGAATTGGATTGGTAACCCTGTTGATGATACCAAAGCATGAGGCATACAGCCCACAGCTTTTGGGTGTTGGATTGGGAACACAATGCAATCCCAATCCCAATCCAATATTGCAGGATTGGATTGCTAGGGCAATCCAATCCCCTGTTTTTCAATACCTGGTATAAAAAAATTGTTCCAATCCAATAAATTGGCCAATACCATATCAGATCGGATTGGTTTCACCGTTGGTTTAGTGGTCAAGCTGCCCACAGCCTCTTGCCAGTCTGATCTCACATTTTTTGCTAGTGATACCATCACAGTATTTGGATTTGTATCTTCTGGGTTGTTGATTGTGAACACAATGATATCTGAAATTGTTATTCAAGAGTTTAGCAAACATATTCAAAACTCATGTAGAATCTCAATCTCAATCGTGAATCAACAATTCACAAAATCTTTTCTATTTAAGTTTCAAGCTGGGGAATTTGGATTTCAAAAAATGTTTCTTGAGAGATTTGGAACATAAATATACACTTTCCAAAGAAGAAGCTAATTTGATACCTTTTTGAGAATAAAAATCTGAAAAGTTGTTCAAAGGTGGTCTTCAAGCTGTTCAATGTTGGATAGAAAGATGGGGTCATAACAGCTCAATTTTTTCTATAAACATACATGGATGATGAAACACCATCTTTTGAAGAAGTTGAGGAGCACAAAATGGGTGCAGAGGATGAATCACTCTCTTATCCCCTTGTTTGGCTCACAAGGCTTGTGGATGTCAAGATGAGTATATATATGGATCTTTTTGAGACAATTTATGTACAACGTGGCTGTGGTAGATTTTTTTAAGCGCAGAGTTAATTTGACATTGTGCACTATAACTATGCATTATGTGGAAAACATTTTGAACATGGGATAAGCCCCAAAGTGTGGCAAAAAGGGAGAGAGGAGGAGCTATAACTGCAGGCCTGGGCATTTCAATCAAACTAGAGAGACAAAAGTTGAAGAACATAAAAGAAGAGAAGAGAAAAAGATAGGTATAGACCACAATATGAGGATTTTACAGGGGTTGCTCTTCCCACCCATTGGTGTCCCTGTTGTTTTGGAATTGAGGGAGCCTGGACAAAGTGGTGAGAAAAGCTTTGGTCACTTTGTAGGTGAGAAGATTGTTCAGTAGGATTTTGGAAGTAATGATGGCAATGCCTTTTAGATGGATTAGTGCCCTGGCCATTTTCCTAGCCCTGTTGTGCCTGCTGCATAGGGTTGATGGCACCATAGGGTGGGGCACACCAAAGACAAGTGCACCCACCCCCTGTGCACACCCCCGGTTCCCCAATGTTTTCAAAAATGGGGGTTGACACGCACCTGACTTTTAGCCCTACTTTTTAAATATTTTTTATGCATTTATAATTTTAGCCCTAGCTTTTTAATTATGGATTTGAAATTTGTAAGGCTAATTATTTGAAATTGCATAGTAAATACACCACCGGGCGTGGTGGATGGCATTTGGACACCCAATCGGAGAGGTTTGGCTGCAAAATCCTTCCATCCCAAATGGAGGAAAATCATGTTCTCATCATCCACTTGGAATGGAAAATGGCTGGAGCTGAGCTCGTTGAATTTTTTCAGCTCATCCAGCTCAGTCAGCTCTTGGACCCAGCTCATCCAGCTCAGTCAGCTCAAGTCAGCTCTCGGACCCAGCTCAGTCAGCTCTCGGACCCAGCTCAGTCAGCTCTCAAACCCAGCTCATCCAGCTCATCCAGCTCATCCAGCTCATTCAGCTCATCCAGCTCATCCAGCTCATCCAG